ATGGGTATCAGTTTTTGGGTAAACAAGTCGTTTCATAACGGGTAGGACGCTTGGGTTCAAGAAGCGAGAAAGATAGAAACTGACATTTTTAATGATGTGGCACCGCTTTAGCCGTTAAAAAGCTTTGCCTGAGAGTACTGAGGAACTACTAACCTGTGTCAAGGGAACCAGGTTCCCTGACAAATTTTGTAAATGTGATCCTCATCCTTTGACCAAAATGCGATACCATTAGCTACTTGTTTGCTCTGTAATCGTCATGCGTGTCTACCTGCAACGGTATAGAGGTGAGTTAGACTTTGCCAGAAAGCACTTTTTAGCTATTTTACCTGTTCATTTCTTTCATAGCCAATCATCAAGGGATCAGGTCCTTAGGTTGATTTCATCAACCCTAGTGCCAAGCGATTCTTTTCAAATTGATCTCTACTCAGTGCTTTGGTGAAGATATCTGCGATTTAATCTTCTGTGCTGCAAAACTTCATGCAGATGAGCCCTTTTCAACATTGTCTCTGAGGAAGTGATGTCGCACATCAATATGCTTATCCTCTTATGTTGAACTGGATTCTTTTCCATGTTGAGAGCACTAGTGTTGTCACATAGTAAGGGCACACAATCATAAAACACACCAAAATCTTCTAGCTGCTACTTGATCCACAGTAGTTGAGCACAGTAAGAGCCAGTTGCCACATATTCAGCTTCTGCAGTTCAAAGAGCCACTGAGTATTATTTTCTTGTGCCCCATGAAATTAGACACGAACACAGAAAATGTGCCATGCCAGAAGTACTTTTCCTATCCACCAAATAACTAGCATAATCAATGTCAACATACCCTATCAAATCAAAATTATCTCATGAGGGATAGTAGAGAACCAGGTCCTGCGTTTCTTTGAGATACCTCATAATTCTCTTGGCAGCCTTCAGATGAGACTCCTTTGGATTAGATTGAAACCTGGCACAGAGTCCCACACTGAAAATGATATCTGGTCTGCTTGCTGTGAGATACAAGAGTGACCCAATGATACCTCGATACATGATCTCGTTTACAGGAGAACCAGGTTCATCCATGTCGAAGCGAATGGCAGTGGCAATGGGAGTATCAATGATTTTTTATCTCTCCATCTCAAATCTCTTCAGAAGCTCTTTGATGTACTTCTGCTGACTTATCATTGTGCCCTTAGGAGTTTGCTTGACTTGTAGACCCAAGAAGAAATTCAATTCCCCTATCATGCTCATTTCAAACTCACTTCCCATGAGTTTTGCAAATTCCTCACACAAAGAATCATTTGTTGCTCCGAAGATGATGTTATCAACATAGACTTGCACAATGAGCAGGTTTCTCCCCCATTTCTTTAGAAATAAGGTGTTGTCAATTTTTCCTCTTGTAAATCCATTTTCTAGAAGAAATTTGGACAGCCTTTCATACCATGCACGAGGAGCTTGCTTCAGTCCATATAATGCCTTGTCAAGTTTAAACACGTGCTCAGGATGCTCATGGCACTCGGAACCAGGTGCTTGCTTGACGAAAACTTCTTCTTTCAGAAAACCATTCAAAAATGCACTTTTGATATTCATTTGAAACAATTTGAATTCTATATGAGATGCAAAGCCGATGAGGATCCTGATGCCCTCCATTTGAACAACCGGAGCAAAAGTTTCATCATAGTCAATTCCTTCTTCTTGATTGTACCATTGAACTACTAGCCTTGCCTTATTTCTTGTGGTGTTTCTAAACTCATCAAGTTTGTTTCTAAATACCCACATGGTTCCTATGACAGTTCTGTGAGTAGGTCGAGGAACCAGGTGTCATACACTGTTCCACTCAAATTGATGGAGCTCATCTTGCATAGCCATAATCCAATCAACATCTTTCAATGCTTCCTTGATATTTTTGGGCTCAATTTGAGAGTGAAATGCTGAGAAGGCAAGTGAGTTTCTTGACTTTGATCTAGTTTGAATCCCTGAGTCAAGAGGGGTGTTCACACTTTGAAGAGAGTGTGAGATTTTGTGCTTCTAGTTAGACACCTGAATCCTATTGTGAGAGGATCCAGGTACTTCTGAGTGTGATCCTTGGTTGACATGAGATCCGCTTCTTAGCTCAGCATCTGGGGTTCCTTGGACAACATCTACTACTTTGTTCTCATCTTCAGTTGTTGTGATTGAGGGACCAGGTTCCTCTCCATCAGTTGGAGATGTAGCTGCACCAACTTCATTTGATTCCTTGACGTGATTCATCATGTTAGCCTTTCCATTTGCCATGTCAATGACTTTTCCAGGAACAACTGACTGCTCTCCGTCTTAATTCATCTTGTCATGTGAATCTTTCCCACATAGATGGTGAGATTCATCAAAGATCACATGTATGATTTCCTCAAAACATTGAGTTCTTTTGTTGTATAATTTGTAGGCTTTGCTTTGTGATGAGTAGCCCAGAAAGATTCCTTCATCACTTTTGGCATCGATTTTTCCAAGTGCTTCCTTACCATTGTTGAGGACAAAACATTTGCAGCCAAAAGTCCTTAAATGTGTTAGCTTGGGTTTTCTTCCGTTCAATAGTTCATATGGGGTTTTGTTCAGGTGGGACCCGATCATGCATCTGTTCACCAAGTAGCATGTAGTGTTGACTGCCTCTACCCAGAAACCTTTTGCAACACAACTGTCAATCAGCATTACCCTAGCCATGTCTTCAAGAGTCCTATTTTTCCTCTCCACAACACTGTTTTGTTAAGGTGTTCTTGGAGCCGAAAAATTATGACTTATACCATTTTCAGCACAAAACTCGTCGAACTTTGCATTGTCGATTTCTGTGCCATGATCAGATCATATACTCACAACATTATGGCTCCTCTTTACTTGGATCTTCTTCACAAAATCAGCAAACATTGAAAAAGTCTCATATTTGGTTCTGAGGAACAAGGTCCATGTGAATCTGGAGTAGTCATCCACAATGACAAAAATGTACTTCTTTCCTCCTCCACTTGGCACTCTCATAGGTCCACATAGATCCATATGGAGGAGATCAAGTGGCCTTGATGTGCTTACTTCCTTTTTGGGTTTGAAGGAGGACCTGATCTGCTTTCCTTTTACACATGCATCACACACATTGTGATCTTTGGAGCTTGACTTAGGCAGTCCACGAACCAGGTCCTTCTTGACCAACTTGTTCAACAATGTAAAACTTGCATGGCCCAACCTTCTGTGCCACAGTTCAGCATCATCATCCATAACACTCAAACATGTGAGATCCCCATTATGTAGGGACTCAAAATCAGTGATATAGATATTTTTGTATATTTTTGCCATCAGGATCACTTCAATAGTCAGAAGGTTTGTGACTGTGCAGATTTTTGACACAAATTCCACCTTGTTGCCTTTGTCGCAAATCTAAGAAACACTCAGCAAGCTGTACTTCGAGCCATTCATTGAATACACATTCTCGATTGAGTGAGTGAGAGACTTCCCAATTCTTCCTACACCCAGAATGTATCCCTTTTTGCAATTGCCAAAGGAAGTGAAAGGAAGTCATTAGTGCTTCCAGTCATATGCTTCGAGCAGCCACTATCCATATACCATCTTGGCTGCTTCCTTTCACTGCTCCCTACACAAGAGAATCAAGGATTAGACTTAGGAACCCAAACAAGTTTGGGTCCCTTGTAATGAGGAAAAGGGTGAATCAAAGTTCTTTTTGTCCAAGCAAGCATTACACATTTTTTATATGAGGGACCAGGTTCTTTAGCAGTAGTTACTTTTTCAGCAAAAACTTTGTTTTTCTGCTGGGACTGGAATATGGCTTTACATGTTTCTTTGAAATGTCCGGTGTTACCACAGTGAGTGCAGAGCCAGTTATTAGGTACAGTAACGTACTTGCTATGCGGGTTGTAGGTTTTTTTCCCTTTGGAACCCGATTCCCTGCGTGTTGCTCCTATTATTTTTATACATAGCAGTGATTGCATCAGAGGACAAGGTCCACTTAAGAGATTTTTCTCGGTCATTCTTCACTCTGCCTAGATCTTCCTGAAGTTGTCTGTTTCTCTCAAGTTCAGCACACAGACTTTTCACTGATTTTAACTCATTTTCAAGCCTAAGGTGTGCCTCACTTGCAACTTCCTTTACCTTTTGAGTGTTCACATGCCTACTTTCCCTTCTTAGTTCCTCAATTGTTTCCTTTAGATCTACAACTACTACCAGTAGGTCATCTCTCTCATGCTCTATGTTTGCAACTCTCTCGGTCAAGATATCTTTTCCCTTTTAAACTCTTAATGGTCTCTTCTAGATCAACCACAACCACCACTATATCATCTCTCTCGTGTTCTATTTCTCCTAGTTCCATAGTTAGCACATTTTTGTCGTTAATGAGACTGTGATATGCATCAATTAAAACATTAGCCAAGGATATAAGCTTCTTTTGAGAATAGGACTTCAAATTTCTTTGAACATCCAAAAAGTTTACCTCATCATCATCGTCATCTTCCTCATCCTCATCTGATTTTGCCATTAGAGCAAAGATGGAATCATATTCAGCTGCTCACTTTCTACTGCCATCATAGAGTTGTCACCTTGATCATCATCTTCTCCAGATTTGCTAGAGGAGTCTCCTCATGCAGCAAGAGCTTGTTTCACAACATTGTTAGTGACATCTTTTCTCTTGAATCTTTTGTCAGGATCCTGGTTCCTTTTGCCTCCTTTGTCTGGGTTGTGCATGTACCGGTCTTGCTTATGGAGAGGGCAATCCTTGATGAAATGTCCTGGTTTCCCACATTTATGGCATATGTCATATCCTCTTGGCTTGCTGGAACTGCCCCTCTTCGGAATACCCCCATTTCTGCGAACCATTTTCTGAAATCTCTTTATCAGATAGGCCATATCTGCATCCTCACCACTTGAGCCGTTGTTGCTGTCTTGAGGACCGGCTTCTTCTTCATTTTGGGCTCTCTTCTCTCATTATCATTCTTCTTCTTCATTTCATAAGTTTTCAGATTACCAATGAGTTTCTCAACGGTCAGCTTCTACAAATCCTTTGCCTCTATGATGGCGTTAACCTTGCTTTCCCAGAAACCTGGTAATACACTAAGTATTTTCCTGACAAGTTTGTTCCTGGGAATGATTTCTCCCAGAGAGTAAAGCTCATTGATGATAGAGGTGAAGCGAGTGTGAATATCATGAATGAACTCATCATCTTTCATCCTGAAGAGCTCATACTCAGTTGTTAACATGTCAATCTTCGACGGCTTGACTTGAGTTATCCCTTCGTGTGCTGTTTGAAGAGCTTCCCAGATCTCCTTAGCGGATTGACAAGCTGAGATCCTGTTGTATTCATCTGGCCCAATACCACAGACGAGAATCTTTTTTGCTCAAAGAGCAAACTTTAGATTACAACCTATTGTAACATAGAAGTTAACCTCTTAATCCCTTACTAACTTGTAACAACTCTATTAAAAAGCTTACAAATCAACTAACTTTAGCCAAGACACAAACACAATATTTATGATTTTACAAAAGGTTTCCTACATAATGCTTCTAACTAAGCTAAGTAGGAATGAGGGTGTCATGTGGGCCGGTCCCGAGCCAGTCCCAACATAAACGGGCTTCGCGGTCTCGGGCTTGGTGGTCCTTTTGTAGGAACCGGCCGGGGACTGGGCCCACGAACTAATGGACCCGGGCTAAGTGGGCCGGTCGCGGGCCTAAAACGTCCCAACGGTTTTTTTTTATTAAAATTTTATAGAAGTTAGAGAAAAAAAGATGGTAATAAAAATATCTAAGGCAATTCCTTGTTAAATTATATAATAGAATTGTGACCTAAATTTTTTAATTCAAATTTAAAGACAAAAATATTGTAAAGATTTATTCAAAGCAATGCGTTATAATTTCATTATAGCATTAAAAAAATATGACAATATCTTTCTTAGTCTTCCTCCCCCCTATGGAATGAGCACAACAAGGTGCTAATACCACCATTGAGAAGAAAAAGAAACTAATCAAGATGTGCCAAAATACAAGTTACATAATACATACTAATTTTTGTTCATACAAGTTACATGGTATATCTTACAAACTTCATAAATCCATTAAGGTCTGGAGGAATTTCTGTTGGTGATGGCGGAAAAGAAGCTTCGTCATCACTGCTTGCGGGTGAAGCAAAATTCTCCGCAAGATCAACTAGCATTTCTTCGTAAGCTTCATCTACCTTTGGTTGTGATTCAACAAGTCCAAAATTTCTTCTTTCCAAACGGATCCAATCTTTAAAAAGTACTGATTTTCCAAGCTCTCCCTCATAGACGCTCTATAATCACCGAGTTGAAGTCTTGCTTGACTGAAAGCGCTCTCCGATGCCACAGTTGAAGCTTGAATAGTTAAAATGTCTCCGGCCATCCTTGAAAGAATCGGAAAGTATTTTTCTTTGTCCTTCCACCATTCCAAAATATTAAAGGAGCCGTCGGGATTCACTTCCTCAATTCCCTATGACAAAACTTCAAGCTCATTTAGTTGTGAAAAATTACTAGTAGTAGAACCTTGAGAACCCATGAACCCCGCCCAAGCACTAAGTGCTCTTACTACCGCAGTTCTTTTAGATGATTGAGAATAAGAAGAAGAAGGAGTTGGAAAATTTGGTCTAGCCTGATCTAATACAACTTGATAAGCATTATAAATAGTTTGAGCATTTATTTTAATTGAGGCTATCGCTTCCGGAAGTTTAGACAACTCCTCTTCTTCAAGTGCTAAACCATTATAAACAGTTTCATATCAAAATTGAGGACCTCCTAATTTCATAGTAGGATTTAACAAGGCAGCAACACCATAAATAGGGGGAATAGTGAAAAAAATTTAAACTTTTTTCTCATAGAATCAATAGCACGTCGATAAATTTCCCCACCCTCTGAAAATGAGCAAATAAATTTGCAAGTTCTGTAATATAAACTAAACAGTTAGAAATAGTAGGATAATATTGTTGATACCCAATTTTTCCCTATAAATTTTAAATATGCATAAATATTTTCAAAAATAGCATATAGATGCATATATAAGCATGCACAAGGGTTTTACAATTTCGCCCATAATTTTAGGAATTCAAATTGATTTATTTCCTTCTCATTTATTCATAAAATCCCCAATAATTATTTCCCAAATTATTGTTATGATAATTTATTCATTTAATTTCTATATTTATGCCAAAATATGGTTAATATATTTTTATGCATTTTTATAATTGCATTTTTGTATTTTTAAGCTAAATTGCATATAATTGCAATGTTAGCCCATTTAACGTATAATTACATTTTATATGCTTAAAATTGGTCCCTACATTTTTAAAATGATAAATACATATTTTAAATCATTTTGGTACATAAAATTATCTTCCAAAAATTGTTTATTATTTATTATAAATGAAATAGGGGAAAATTGGCTATTTAAATTATAGCCAGATTGGCATTTCAATTACAGCCTACATTGAACCCAATCCCAGCCCAATTTCCTATTAAAATACCCGACCCAGAACCTATACACACTTACCCGACCCGAAATCCATTAGATCCTTGATCCGTATTACTTCTTTCCTTTTTGAATTCCTAAGACCCTAACCCTAGCCTCATTTCCAAAAGGCCGCCGCCTCTGTATCCTCTCGTCTCCTCTCTTCTCTCAACCTAACCCTAACCCCCTTTCAACCGCCTCCCTTCTCCGGTCTTCTCCGGTGACCACCCTTCAACCCCAAGCCTCCAATGGCTCCTCTTTGCCTTGCTCATCTTTTCTGAGGCCTTCAAGGGCCCTGGGCCACACCGACTTGTATCTAGGGTTTGCTGTTTTGGTTGTTCAGGACTACTCCGGTGTGATTTTGGGAAAAGTCACACTATATTTGTTACGATCTTTGAAGTTTCTAACCAGGTTCTTCCATCTCTATTTGGGTTCTTTTGAAACCCTAATTTTTGTTTGTATCTCTTAGATCTGTGCTATTTTTAAACGATTCGAGTCTGTTCCTTTTATGTTTTACACTGTTCTTGAACCTCTTTTGCAAAAATCATCGATTTCAAGTTGTTTTTACTTTTTTTTGAAGTTAGGGTTTTTCGGAACTTCTTCTACACTTCGTTAAATCGATTCATGTTTAAAACTTCTATCTCTTGCATATTTCAACTAATTCTATGATTTTACTCCCTTTTCAACTCGCCTATGTTGAAAACCCTAATTTCTTAGTCCCAACCTTGGGTTTCTGAGTGTCGTTTTGATAATATGCTCAGTTAATCTGTATGTTCCTATGATTCTGTGATTTTTGCCCTATGTTTGCTTGCTAGGTTTCCTAATTGTAGTTATCCTTGCCTATTGTGTGATTTTGCTCTATTTTTGTTCACCGATGTTTCTGATTCTTCACTTCTCCTACCCGTATCATGCTTAGCCTACTAATTCAGACTATGCTCTACATGAATCCCTAATTTTATATGTGATTATTGTCCTACTCGACCTCTTAGGGTTCCGATTTTTGCTTACCATGTGCTTGTTCTTATAGAGTGGTGCTAAATTAGTGTTATCTCCTATTCTTGCATCCTTGAATCTTTGTGATTGATCTTTTACTGATTCCGCATGTTATTTCTACTGATTTTTACCTTGTAGAATGTTTTTTGACCTTATTCTATGGTCAATTATGCTATTAATTGATTGCTCAAGTCTTTCTTTGGTTGAAGTGTGCTGAACCTGACCTCTATTACATATTTTGTACTTGTACTATGCAGAAAATATTTCCTTAATTGGCATGTTCAGCCTTATACGATTTCCTTCCTTATTTGTTATATGTCTATTACCGTTTGAGGTTAATTCCTCAATTAAAGGGAGTACTTACCTTGATTTCCTTACTGATTGATTCTGAGTTCCTTAATTACTAGTGGACTTTGATTTTTACCTTATTTACTACCTGCTTTTGAACTATATATACCATAGTCTTTCATTAACACAAGACATGAACTCTTGGTTCAAAAACTATTTCTCACACCTAAACTTTCTGCTATCTTTTGTACTACTTGCTACTACTCTAAGTTAGCCGGCTGCAAGCCAAGGCTAACCATTGTGTTCTCTTGTTCTTTCACTCTGCTTACTGTCCTCTTTACTGGTATGTTCTAGTTTCAATTCAAAGTTCCACAACAATATGATTCTCTTATTGTTTCAGTTCATCCTGTTTCTAGTTTGCTTCTATTTGTGGTTTTGTTGTGAAACTTGCAGTTGATGTTTACATTATTATGTACTCCCCTTCCTTAAGATCAGTATATTACCCCTCTGTTTGTTTGTGAGCATGTCTATACCAATTATCTCTTACTTGTTGTGTGCTTACCATCATATGCTCCATGAATCCCCAAATCCCTATCACCCCTGTATGTGATTTTGTTCTTCATATCTAGTTTTGTGACTATGCCTCGTCAGCTGTTTCTGAGCATGTCTATACCAATTCCTAGACCTTTGATTGATTATGTGTTTGCAATCAACTGTTCCATGAATCCCAAACCCCTTGACCCCTGTTTGTGACTACTGAATTTACTTTGGTTCTGTGACTATTGGCTATGTATAAACCTGTCCTAAGGTGTTGTGTTTGGACTTCTGTTCATTTCTTCAATCTCTTTTCAAACAGTCTCTGTTGTTTTACTAAATTACTTTCAAACAGACTTTCTGTTTTAATACCGTTTTTCATAAAAACCTTTCAACTTGTGTCAATCACTTTCACTCTACTCCTAAGTCAATAAGTTCTGCCCCCTCCAGTATGTGTACTGCCTTTGGATCCTCTTGAGAACCCTCTGAACTCTGGCGTACTGAGGCTGGCCCTTCCACACTGCACTTGTTCAATTTTTGGTTACCAAGTCTAGGTGTAAGCACTGCCTGGGATCCTTGAGATCCTTAGGGAACTTTGATGCACCTAGACTATGTCATTGTATATGGAATTGAGGCATTCGAGGCCATTGGAGGCTTTAGGAATCTAAGCCTAATCGAAGGCTCCCTATAGAATAGCTTCTTGTTTTTCTTATTTACTTATGTAATTCATTCATTAGTCTGTAATAACTTGTAAACAAATATTGGGCATTTAGTGAAAGGGATGGGTAGATGCATGTTTGTGGGGTAATACGGGTAGAAATCATGCTCATAGGACTTTATGTTTAAATCCGATTGCTTTACCAAGTAGAAATCATGCTCATAGGACTTTACGTTTTAATTCGATTACCTTATCAAGTAGAAATCATGTTTATAGGGCTTTACATCCTGTCATGTTTATCTCACCATGCTAGAAACCATGCCTATAGGTTCAAACAATTCCATTATAGAAATCATATATGCAATGTCTTAAAATCAGCTTAGCTAATAGATGCCATGCCTGAAGGATATAATTTAACCTAGATTCCGTTATAACAAGTGTTTATGTATGTTTCCCTGCTTGCAATCCTTTAAAATCAGTATCAAATGTCAGATATCATGCCTATAGGTAACCATACTCGAAATTCTGCCTGTCAACCTAAACTAGTCTAAATAAATCAATTTAATCCACGTTTAGTCATTTCTGGATTTGTTTAATTAAGTATTTCATATTTCCTGAAACAAGTTCTTTAAAACTGCCTCAATCTGTCATTAGATATCATGCCTATAAGTATTACAGAAATTCGTTTCAAAACCTGCTTTGTTTCACTATATAAATGTACTAATCAGTGCTCCGCGTATAGGCAAGCCTTTAGGGCGTTTTCCAAACTGCAACTATGAAACTGTTTCTATTGCTTAATGTTTTTTTATCCTAACAGGCTTTAAAAATTAATAGGCAACTTCTAGGGTCACTACTCCTGAGTTTATAAATAAAATAAGTTGCTTGTCTTCTGCATATTCATCTAGACATCCTGCCTTAAGATACTGTCTAATAAAAGCCCTTAAAAAAAATAAGTTTATTGTGCTTGTTTGAGGAGGAAACTTTGAGCCTCTAATTGCTCCCTTTTATGTGCTGAAAGTCCTAAGTGTTTTGCTTGTCGCCTTAGAATTTTCACCTTTTAAAATCTTAGGGGTCCATCTAGAACCACCTATAGGTAGAGGTCCTAACTCCCTCCAGGACCATTAAGAAGGGACGGGTAGCAGCACGCAGTAGAGATTGCTGACCAAACACTCGCTTTGCATGACCAATAAGGGGATGGGAAGGGTAGATATGGGATATGATGA